TTGAAATAACATGACTTCATTGAAAACCTAGAGGTTTTTATTGGTCCATAAGACAAATTACTGAATGATCTTTTGCCTCAACTGTTAATTATTTGTTTAAATTTAATTAATTTTTTTTTTAGTTTATTGAAACAGGGTCTTACTTTGTAATTCAGGCTGGCCTTGAACTCACTATGTAGCCCAGGCTGGCCTTGAACTGCTGAGATCCTCCTGCCTCAACCTCCCCAGTGGAGTGTTGGGATAACAGATGTGTGCCACCATGTCCAGCTAATTTTTTTTAGATGATCTATGTTGCCTAGCCTGGCCTTGAACTTTGAACCTGAGAAGCTCTCACTTCGGCCTCTCCAGTAGCTCAGATTATAGACGCACCACCAGGCTGGCTAACATGTGGAGGTATGCATACGGTTCCCCAGCCTCGTACCATGTCCTCATGTATGTTAAGCAAGGGCTGTATCACCGAGTTATACTCTCAGCCCTTCCACCTCTAATTTGTGATAATGCTACTTTTCTGGATAAACAAACAACTTCTCTCCTGAACATGGTTGGAAAAAATAAGAATCCCGGTGCTTGAAAACTTGGGGTAAGGAAAGGAGTTGGAGCAGAACTTGAATGTTTGATAGCCTAAGTAATTCTTCCTAGTCTCCCTCCAAAGTTAAATCATTAGTCTATGGCTCTGCATTAAAAAGAATATTGTTTAATTTGCTGATGACTTCATAGACTAAGTGACATGAGTGGTGAGTACACAAGAGAAAGGGAAATACCATGTATCTTTAGTTGTATGTGTGTGTGTGCGTGCGTGTGTGTGTGTGTGTGTGTGTGTGTGTGTAAGCGGAAATGAAGAGGAATGAACAAGTACAGAATTGGAAATCTGAAAATAATTAAGGAACTACTTAGTAAATCCCTGCCCACTGTATGGCTTAGAAAAATGAGTGACCTGGAAATATACATTTTCTCATGCAGATTTGGAGCACTAAATGGTATAATCACACTGGTAGAAACTGTCATGCTTTGAGGTAGAGACAGTACTTCCTCTTCATTTAACTTTCTGCTTCTCAAATTTACAGATAACCTGCCTAGGATACTTAACTAGAACACCAAGAACAGGTAAACAGAGTTAACAAAAGAGCCAACCATGCCAAGCCTGTAACTAGTCTGCCTGGGTATCTTATTCATAAATAAAAAGCATTTTAAAGGCAGTGAAGTGTGTGTGTGTGTGTGTGTGTGTGTGTGTGTGTGTGAGAGAGAGAGAGAGAGAGAGAGAGAGAGAGAGAGAGAGAGGAAAAGGTAAATTAATTGTGTCAATAAGACAAGAGAATAATAAACATCTAACACAATTGTTAGGAAGGAAGGTATAGCTTAACCCAGGCTCAAATAACTTCCTTCTCACCCATCAGTAGAACATTAGCTAAGATACTGAAGTGCTAAATTCATCAGATAAGAGATGTGCTAAGATGTCAGATCCTCTGAACAATGAGGGAAGAAAATTGAAGTGAAAATTGCAATCTTCACCTGCAAGAGACTTAAGTGAGATAAAGTGAAAATGTTTACAATGGAAGGAGAGAGAAAATGTGAAGAGGATGATATTTAATAACAAAGATAAAACTGGAGACCTAGGAAGGGAAAAAGATGACAGGGGAAAGAGCCAGGAATCTGGGCTGTGTGGGGGGAGCTTAGAGGAGCTTATCAGTGTCAGCAGCAATCCTACTGAACACTCAGTGGACAATTGGTGTCAAGGCAGCGGCAGCAGATGTTTTGCTGGAAGAAGAATGGCGGAATGATAGTCACAGGAGAACATTGTGACCTGCAGACAAGAGCTGTGTTTCATTGACAGTGGGACCAGAATGCACACAAACAGGCCTAGGCGAAACACAGAGGCTGTGTCCAAAAGCTGGAAGTTTGGTAGGTGGAGGGCAAGAGGGTGGGGAGGAGCAAAGACAGATGCTAAAGAACAGGTCTTTAGAGAAGGATTTGTGAGGAAGGTAACTAAGAGCAATAAAACATAAAAGAGTGGGAAATAATTCCCACCTGATCACAGGTGTGAGATCTGGGGCTGGAGTATTTGGGTTCAAAACCTAACACTCACCAGATGTCTAATCCCAGATCAGTTACGGATCACCTCTTCCACGTTCACTTTCCTAATTTGTAAAGGGGGATAATAGTACTGCTGTCTGGAATTGAGTAAGTTAATATATTGCCTAGCACAAGTCCAACTGTCATGGGACTGTCCTGCTAGGTGACCAATTTCTGCAAGTGGCTCTGAACTGTGTGGAGTGCTTTCATATCTTTCAAGACCATCCATAAGATAGATAGTTGCAACACCATATGCATTATATATATATATATTTTATATATATGGCTGTAGATAAAGTAGATCTTGGAGGGCCTGTAGAATTCCAAGGCCTATATATATATATATATATATAAAACGTGGTTGTGGTTGAATCTTTTGTTAACTTTGTTTATCTGTTTTTGATGTTTCATTTAAGCATCCCAGGCAGGTTCTCTGTAAATATGAAAAACAGATAGTTGAACATTTGCCATATATATGGCAGCTGTCCTCCTCCTTAAGGGCAGCCTACAGAGTGGTTAAGTAGAGGACAATGGTAAGTCTTTCAGGTTCATAATTGCTTGGGCAAGTCATTTGCCTCCCCCATACATTGAGCCAGTTTCTTATCTAGAGAACAGGAGACATATACACAGAGGTAGGTAGGTGGGAAGCCAGATTTTGTGAGAATAACCTGAAAAATGCCTGGAACACAGTAAGTTTCAATAAAAGCTTTCTGTGTGAATATGCCTTGTGATGCTGACAATGGGTGACAGGTCTAAAATACTTTCATCATCAGGGAGGGAGACCTTAACTGTTTTCACAGCTGCTAGTAGAGAGGCCTTGGATTCAGCTTTCATCAGAACCTGGGAGAATTGAACTTTTAGATCACAAAGGAAATTGACATTTATCTTTTCCAGATTACTGCAGGTATGAACAGAAAGATAGGACCACTTGAGTCTCTAAAATGGATTGGTGGAATTGGGGTACATTTTGCGCGCTATCCTGTGGTTTTTCCTCTCTAAAGGAAGGACCTTACCAGCCTAAATGAAAGGAGCAAAAGGAAGAAGGTATCAGTACACAATTCTGGCTCCTGGTGCTACTGACATTGGACATTGCTGTTCCTCCTCTATCCCAGGACACAGCTGGCTCTCTGGGTGGGTGTCTTGCTGCAACTCTAACCACCTTGCTGGGAAGCCACCAATGCCTTACTGGTTAGACATCTGGCTCACCATTTAGGACCGTGATGAATTTGATGGAGGACACAGTCTCCCCAAAAGCCTCTGGTAAAAGATCCTCTCAGTGTAACAGTCCTAGAGGCCCTGGTATTCTACAGGCCCTTCAAGATCTACTTTATCTACAGCTCTAGCAAGAGAAAAGGTGTGGAACTAGACAATGCTTTCTTTTAAAATCCCTCCTCAAGAATACTCAGGTCTTTGTCAGTAGCAATGGCATTAAACAAGCTGCAACTCTCTGACTCCATTCTTGGAGGAAGAACATGAAAAAAAACCAAGCACCCAGCCAGCTGACCACAAGCACAAGTCCCAACCCAGGACCTCTTCAGAAATCCTTTCCTCTTTTTCTTTCCCATCTGCTCTGCCAGGGCTAACTGGGGAGTCCCTGGCAAATCTCAAAACTGTGATACAATGTTCAGGCTCCTTCCCCAGCAATCATTTATTAGAAAGGGGTTTTATGATACAAATTTGATAATCTCCCATGCACACTGGCACTGTTCTAATTGAAGTTGTAAACCCATAAAATTCAAGTCTTTTGTCTTCCTGAAGGCCACAAGGTTTAAAAAGATACATTGTCCTGCCTAACACCCACTACATTGTCACCAGAGACTGATTAAACAGAGTCCTGAATCAAAACAGTGCGGATTTTGTCTAGGTCCTTTTCAGGCCTGACAATGCCCTTTTCAGTTCTCAAGACAAAAGGGGGTTTAAGGATCGAGATTCTTCTAAGATAACCACATCCATATGGAAGGCAAGGTGGCCAGCAGCTGAGACCCAAGCACCCCACTCTCTTCCCCATCTGCCCCCCACCACAGGTGACAACACTGCCTTCTTCTTGGACAAGAAACCCAAGGCCTGTAACAGGCCCTTCACAGAGCTCTTCCTGGTCCCAGTTCCCAACCCTGGACCTAATGCCTGGGAACTACTCTCCTCTGGCTCATCTTCCTGTATCTGGTACCAGGGAGCCAGGAGGCCTTTCCTTCTCCCCAGACAGTGAATGCGTACAGTGGAGATCCACTGCTCTGCATATAGACTTGAAGAGCAACAGCTGTAAACCCCCAGTCAAGAGCGTCCTAGGAGCGTGGGTTCCTCATCAAGCTCCACAGGACGTCCCAAGGCAGAGTCCAACTCCAACAGTTCACTGCCACCTTTTAATTTCCTCGTCAGACTGCTCCCACACCACCCGACCCTGGAGAGGTGCTGTTGAGGAGTCGGGGAAATCCCAACACAGCCAGTTTAACTCCAGGTCCCAAGCTCCAGGGCTCTTGGCCCCAGAGGCTAGGCTTCTGCCACTGAATCAGACCCTGAACTCTGCCTCGATAGCGCACCTCATCTCGGTCAACTGGATTGACTTTTGGTGTTTCCAACGCCAGCCCGTGGCTCCGGGAGTCGCAAGGGGACCCTGTCACTCTGGGGCCAGGGGGCTACTCGCTGACCAGAGTCCCTGAGATCGCCTCAGCCTCCTCCCCTCACACCCGTATACTCCTGGCCTGAGCTCCGCCCTTCACCCCAACCGGGCTGAGCCCTCCTGGCCCTGGAACAGGTGAGCACTCAGAACTCCAGTCTAGGGAGCACGGCGCACACCTACTTCCTGGCAGGAGTGTAAGGGATCCAAACCTACACATTTTATTCTCGCACAACAAAAGAAAAAAAAATACTCCAGTTTTAAAAAAATATGCTTCCTATACAAACTGCTATTTTAAAAAATATACAAATAAGGCTCAAGCAATGAAATCTAGCTCTGGGGTTCTCAGTCCAAGGAAGGGAAGAGGCGCGATCTTGGCCAAGGTTCCTGCGAGTACTTCCGAGACAGCAGGGGGGGAACCCCGAAGGTGGGGCCTGCGAGGAGGGTTCTGGCGGTGGTCCCCCCGACCCCCGTCCCCAGTGATCCAGGTCTTCGTCTGCAGCCCTACTGCGGCCGCACAAGCGCACTCCAAAGTCGGGGTAACCCGGCGACCCCAGGCGGCCTCACCAGTTCCAGGAGACCAGGGCGGGGGGCGC